TATGAGACTCGAATCTGACAGGTCGGATTTTTTAAAAAAAATTAGGTTTAGAACGGGTCGGTTTGGGTTTTTTTAAAGGTTATGTTCGGGTCGGGTTAAATTTGGGTTTAGGGTGAAAATTACCCGATCCGTCCCAACCAAAAAAATATAATTTTACTTTATATATTTAAGAATAATTATGATAATATCTCTCTATATATAATTTTTGTTAATTAAATCACTGTTTTTATTAAATAAAAATAATATTTTTTATTATTTCGAGTCGAGTCGGAGTGTGTTCAGATTTTATTTTAAAAAGTTGGGTCAAATTCGGATCGAATGGAAGATATATATTTTTCTAATCAGATTAAATCGGATAAAAGATATAAAAAATTTTAGTCAGGTCAAATTGACCGAAACCGACCCATGCCCCTCGGGAATAGGTATCTCTTCTTTAGAAGTTGGAAGCGTGACGCCTTGCCTGCCAAATTCAGAATTGGGGGCTAACTTCCACCTTTCAAGTTACTTTCTGGGTTGGATCTTTACTGATGTTTTTGGTGGAGTTATTAAGGTTGTCACATGTTTTTAAATTTTATTTAGATTTATATTTTATAATGATTAATTCATATATATATATATATAGCAATTTAAATAGAACAATTTTGTAATTATTATACTTAGAAAAGTATATATTATTATTGATTCGAAAATGAAAATAAGTCTGTTGTTGTATGGTCCAATAATTGAACAAGCTGGATAAAGGGATGGAAATTACTTTTGGATTGCAATTGGGGTGAGGGTTAATGTGCGAAATTCAATCAACAAGGTTAATTTAAGTATCCTTTAAATAAATTTTGAGTTTGAAATCTCGTGCATACATACAGTCTATATTGATAGACTCATTTACTATAGTTAGATGTGCGACCGGAATTAATCCAAATTAATTAGAGCAAGAGCAAAACCGTAGAGAACCTGGAGGGAAAAAAAGAGAATTGGCAAAATTCAAAGTAATCTCAGCAAGAAATGGGGGAATGTGATTTTGTGTTCAAAAATAGATTGCCTAGGCCAGTGGCCACAACGGTTTATTCTTTTCGGCCTTAAATCAACCAATCAATACAACGAGACAAATCCATCATATTATTGTAATGAACCAATTCAACTAAACAAATACTCCAAAACCAGCTATATGTATAACGCAACAAAATTCAAATCACGAATGCATCAAGTAATTATTATAGAACCATAACTCCGGGCCACCCATCTCATCCCCCTACTTTTCTGGAAAAACTTCTGCCAGATTGCATCTGTTGGGTCGGTCTAAGAAACATGTCATTTTTAGATTCTGCATTCCACTGCACCCCACCCTTCGTTGCTGCTGGCCTTAGTTGCCCAATATTCTGCCTCTGATTTCCAATTGTAACCTTTGCCAACTTCTCCGTTACATCCGAAGCTCCACATGCATTTCTATGCTTGTTGATTGACGCTGCTGTATCCAATATATTTTCAAATTCCAATAACAAACAAAACTACATTAGTATTCCAATAACAAAGTTCGGTAAGCAGACAGGAAATTTAACCATTTCTAGCTACTGCCACTTTACACTTGATTTGTATTATACATTATGTACGCTTCATTTTGCATATTTCCATGAATTTGTAATATTCAGGTACAAATAATCATGATATGCTTGAATATATATATTAAAAATAAAAGTCAAACTTAAAAATACCAAAGACTCACTTGGACTCTTTCTTCCTGGTGGCCGATACCTTGGTTGCTTCACAGTGTTCTTCAAGGATTTCTGATCATTCTTATTCAGATGATTTAGGGAGGGAAAAGAAAAAGACTATTTTCAGAAGCAAAGTACAGAAAATACCACTCAAGAAGCAGTAAGATACATTACATGATAAGTAACAATTACCTGATTAACCATCTCCAGCTTGCGTTGCACACCTGCTAGAATTAATGATAATTAGAAACACATCATATAAGATCTTCAAGAAAGTAAACAGCACTTAAGAGTTAATGGACAAGGAAAAAAACTAGATCATGCACTCAATATCAAATATCATTAGTAAACAATTTATGTTTTTTAGTAGATAATGTACAATCCACCACCTGTGGTTGCACCCATAGAAGCACTTGACTTCAGAGAAGAAAGATTGCCAGTGGGACTTGCATTGGGTAGAAAGCCAGAATACCTTCTAGCTGATTGCTGTTCCAATTTTCGTCTCACCCCAACTACAAGCATGCAAAACAGAGATTAGCCATATAATAGCCAAATAAAGGGGGAAAATGCAGTGTATTAGATCAAACCAGATGGAGGAGTTCTAGAAACAGTTGCTTTAGGACGAAGAGAGGGTGGAACATAAAGGCAACTCTGCACATCATAAGAAAATTCAATGAGCAGAGCACTAGCTACAGCATAAATTTCATTTGACCTCATAAAAGAAAAAAGAACATTTTTTTTTAAAATACTACCTTAAAGAAGGGATGTTGAAGGGCCTCAGCAGCAGTAGGCCTTCTGCAAGGATCCAACGAACAGAGAGACTAGAGACAAACAGTAAAGAAAATGTCAATTTGTCTTCAAACAATCCAAAAATAATAATTTAAAAGTGACATAACAGAAAGCCCTTGCTGCTGCAGAGTAAGGGTAGAAAGTAATAAAAGGCAACAGTGTTAGCAGAAATGCACTCAACTGTAATAAGGTTTATTGCATCATCACTTGCTGAAGGAATCAACGCAGAAAAATGCACACCAGTGAACTTCAATGTTCAATAACAGACAGGTCAAAAGTATTAGATTCCATCTGCTGGAAAGAAAATCCATATGAAGAAAACTGAGAGAAGGAAATACCTCTGGGAACCGGTAATTTATGGTTCTTGCAAGATTAAGCCCATCCGGCCATGAATCTTCAGTTGGAGTGCCTACCACACTACAAATTTTGTAAATTTCATCTGCTTCACTGCACGCATAACAATAAGGGTTGACATCAATTCCGTGAATCACCAGGCAAATACCCACTTTCATTACTAATTAGAAAAATATACATAATATCATTTAATGCCTACAAAATCCCATGATCTCAAGAAGTACTCAACAATCAACACAGAATCACGATAAAGGAAAAAGAACATACCTTGTGCCAGGAAAAAGAGGACGTAAGGTGAACAACTCAGCCATGATTGCACCCATCGCCCACATATCTATAATTAGGGAGAAAAACCGTAACTAAAAAGGTCTATCACCACTTTTATCTTAAGTTATTCACTATTAATTACACGGAAAACACACCAACTTTTGCCGTGTAAAGGTATGATTGAAGAAGTACTTCAGGGGCACGATACCTAAAAAAGAAGAAAGCCAAGCTTAGAGGTGGAATGAATATAGGGAAGAAAGGGTCGAAAAAACACTAAGTCTCAAATATCAAACCTACCAGCGTGTTGAGACATACTCCGTGTAAGGTGGATGTGAACTTATTTCTCGTGCAAGACCAAAATCAGCTATTTTGATTATATCTTTAGTAACCAACAAATTCTCTGGATACAAAAAGGCAGTTAGTGACAGGATATTCCTTTTGAGTAAATGTAACAAAAATATAAATTTTATAGAAAAAAAAAATAACCAGGCTTTAGGTCGCGATGAAAATATCCCCGCTGGTGCATGTATTCAAGACCTTGAAAGACTTGGAAACACCAATTTCTGATTTCAACTTCTGAAAAAAGCTTTTCCCTGTCTTTCATAAGTTGGTATAGGTTGTATTCCTGTAGCAATTTCATTATAACAGTTAAATAACATAACCCCCATTGATTAAAAACATGTTATGGTAGAACTCAGATAGGTTACAAACCATATATTCAAACACAAAATATAGAATGTCATTTTCTCTGATGACCTCCTTAAGCTTCACAATATTGGGATGATTCATTTTCCGCAGTGACTGTCAAGGAAAACAGGCAATCATGCATAAGTTGGGAAAACTAGGAGAAAAACCAAAGAGAGAAAAAAGCAAATCATATTACCTTAACTTCTCTCAGATTCACACACTCTTCCCACGAGAAATATTTCTTCTTCATTTTCTTAATTGCAACCTTCAAAACAGAAAATAATCATATCAAAAGGATATACCAACACCAACATATTAAAATAAACATGTTTGTAAATCAAAATAAAGAAATCCCAGGAATACTCACAACTTCACCAGAGAGTTTATTAATAGCTCTCCACACAGTTCCAAATGTTCCATCGCCAATTTCCTTAATTAACTTGTACCTAAGATCATTGAAACATTGATAAGAAAAAACAGATCATGCATAGAATGAATATTGTGAAGTACGATAAAAGAGTAAGAAACTTACCTTTCCATTTTCTAGCAGATTAAAAAGTAGCCCTTTCTTTATTCAAGAGACTTATAAGAACCAACAATGGACTCGTGACATCTATCTTCACTAGAAGATTGCTTGTATTAAATGAAAACTATAAAACATTTAAAAGGAAAAATTGTCCTGCCGGTCAGCTAAATCCACCAGAAGCTTGATGGCGGAAGGGCCTCACAGCATTATTTGGTACTAAACCCACAGCTTCAAGAAGAAAACAACACATCAACGGAATAAACAGACGAGCTCCACCAAACATGCTGATACAAACCAACCAGAATGATTGCTTCAGACAACATAAAGGATACCAAGCTCAACATACATCCATTTGGTTCAGAAGCTTAATTGCAATTAACTCACAAATACTAAGAACAAACTGTTGCAGTACCTGCAAGATCACATCAGTAATCAGTAGCCGTCAGGACTTAGGAGCAACAATAGAAAATTAACCGAGTACAGTACCAGCTAAATCTTAGTAATCACCTATCTACCGTGAGAGTTCAGCCCAGTGATGATTGAAGAGGAAATAAAAAATAAGACAAAGGTTACAAAAACAAATAAATAGTTAATAGGTATGGGAAAGATAATCATGTAAATATATATTTTACCTGGAAGGTGTTTTAGTAAAATATTTGACCAAATATTGTATCAGCAAAGCACTACCAAGAAATATATTTAGTACCTTACTGTCTAATTTTAGTCAGATAGAGAAAGAGAAAAATTGCTTACTCGCAGAAGACAGAAGTGTGCTAAAGATCTAACACCCATCTCTGAAATAACATGCATTACACTTCCAGTGTTGGGTATTAAAAAGAGAATCGGCACTATGTGCAATTGACAAAGGAAACCAAGAGAAAATCTCCATGGAAAAGAAACCACCAGTCGAGTACTTCTTGGAATGACAAATCCGGAAAAGGTGGCAATTTGACCAGAACCACACTTGTTCCATGTCTTTAAAAGGAAACTAAACCTTTTAAATCCAGGTCCGGTGCAATCTAACATAAAATAACATCAACTGAAATTAGAGTCAAGATAGATCTAAGAGGAGCAGATAATCTAATATGATACAAACTATTAGGAATAGGAAAAATAGTACAAGATCAAGATATAATTGATGACTAATCTAAAAGGGAATAGCAATTCTATAAATAAGACGCAGTGGTTCAATCATATATACGCAATTATGTACAAAAAAAGTGAAAAATTCAAGTAATGTGAAAATCAACCATTCTCAACTGCTAGCGACTCATCAGATCATGACAAAATCAATGCCCAGTACTATATAACAACAATCCTTTCCCCTATTAGAAACAACCACATACCGGAAACCCCGTGAAAGGAGCCACGAAACAAAAACATCAACGAATCAATTGGGGAAAAGGTCGACGACAAGTCCAAAGAAATTATTCAGAACATCAAGATGCAAACCCTAATAAATTAAATCAACTAAACAACATGAAGGAAAAAGAGTTCCTAATTAAGAAGAGGTAGCAAAAGAAACAAAAAAAAATCCAATAAAAACCTCTAATCTAAATCAGATCCAGGTGAAGAATTTTCTTGAACGATAAGGAGAGATACCTGAAAACTAAATGGAATAAGCACCGTCGCCAAGGACGGGAAGAGAAGGAATCCAGAGCTTCTCTATTTCACCGTCTCCCTAAGAAGCAAAAAATAGTACAATTTTTTTCTTTTGTGTTTGGAAATTGAATCGAAATATCTATTCCTTTTTTTTAGATAACGATATTTAAGTAAGGGTCGCGGAAACAATGAGAAAAACGCTTATATTTCGGTAGTTAGACTGCAGCTTTCTCTACGCTACGCCTTAACCTATTATGCTACGCCTTAACCTATTATGCTACGCTAGGATGATGGACGGTCGGATGTCTGCATCATTTTCAATTCGTGTCTGTTCTTTATTGGGATTTGGGACATACCATTCTCACGAGTCCAGCGTCTAATCTTTTTTCTCTCATCACAATTTTAAAATAAAACGACTTCCAACCAAATTTTGATTTGTTATTTTTAAACCAAACCAAATTTCGATTAGTTTGTTATTGCTTTTGTCATTTTTAATATGCATTTGTACATGAATTTATCACTCTTTTGTAGATATAGTATATATGTTTTAAGGTTTTTTTTTTATTAAAATAATATTATAAAAACGTATTTATCAAATTGACATTCAAACCGAATTAAATATCAAAATAGATTCATAATACAATCGTATAGAATGAATACACGTGTGATTAGTGGCAAATCCATAACAAACTTTGGTCGAATATGTATCTATTTTAAAATTTAAATTTTCTCCGATTAATTATCTATTTTTTTGATTGTGTCTACTTAAAATTTTATTTGTGTTTACCTTATATAAAAAATCTGTGTTACCTACATATATGTTCTCACCACAAAAATATTCCTAAATCTACCCTTGCATATGATTAGTGTAACCCCTTTACTCGGCCTAAAAAAGTGAGTTAGATAAGAGAGTCACATTAAAACTTATCCCTTAAGGAAACCATAATTAAATTAAAAAACTTATAAATATCATTTAATTAATGAAAAATATTCAAAGCTCAAACGTTGTGATTTTATTGATTTCAAAAGTTTGAAAAGTTCAAAATAATAATAATAATAAAATGAATCTGTAAATGCATGAAAAAATAGTCCAAAAATAACAATAACCAATATCACAATTTACATAAATAATAATCCCAAATTATAAATAAGAGTACGATGTAGGAAATCCGAATAAGATTCATACATAATGTAATAATTTATCTGAAAAAGTGATGTGACCCTCAACGTACTGAATCGTCTAAGTCTGACTATATGAAAGAAAAAACAATAGAGGATGTAAGTTATTAAGATTAGTGTATCTCTATTGTACAACCAATCAAATATAACATAATGACAAACCGAAACACAATACACGTGACATGACAAATATGCAAATGTAAATACACTCAATCTTCATACACCATCGAAAGAGAAAATTTCCCCAAAACCACTCTCTATTATACACCATTATGAAGTGGAAGTCCGCTTCAAAGAAAGGACCCACTGATAATCTGAAGTGAGATTCTTCTCGATAGGTAAATCCACTAAACTTCCCTATCATAAATTATACAAATTATACAAATTTCAATCTGATTTGAATGATAATTTATATATCTTAATGCAAATCATAAATTGGTGACTGAAAAATTAACTTGCATCTCGTTCTGAAAACTAACGTAGTAACATGTATCACAAATATCATCTGAAGTGCATCCTAGACAAACAATTTTCCCACAAGACGATCATGCTTGCAAGTCAAACAAAGAATATGCCAAGTAATAAGAAATTCATAGAAAAACTATAACACAAAATAGAGACACACATATAAAATTAAGACTTAACGACGTGCGGTCGGTTCCCATACTCAACTATAACACTAGGTCGTAACGAATCAGATCCTACAAATTAATTAATAGTAATAACTAATTTAATATTATATCAAGAACCAAATCGAAACTACTAATGAACTAAACGATTAATCACGAGTTATTCTCGTAATTTGGGTCAGAAAAGTCTAAATAGGTAGAGGAAGTGATAACTCCATCTCTGAGTCAACGTCTCCTACAAAATATGAATGCTCGAATTATAAACCCAATCATGCAATTTCTGAAATATGTAACGCTAATACGAAACCAATAAAACAAATCTCAACTCGAATATGGACCGTGGCAGCAAGCTGTCGGTCCGTGGCAGCTGATTTTGCTGCAACATAAGGTCGCCGGCAACAAGTGCCACAATAGTAACCGAGGCTTGAGAAGACGGCGACACACACGACCTCTCATGTCGTGACTTACGACGGCCAAAAGACAACAACCTCGACTAACGACGAGCATGATCGACACTAAATCGAGCAAATGTAGCCACTCTCACGTAAAGCCCACATCTGAACGGCTAAGGATGACCACGCGCGGTGGTGATGCAACCCTATATTCTCGGTTTCTTACCGAAATCAAGTCGACGACAACTACACAACTAAGCAAAGAGCTGAGGGATGAGACACGGGGTGGTTGGCGAACTCTAGTCGCCTTGGTGCGGCGCGGTCTGTAGGATTTTTGAAAGTGGACTAAAGTTTTTCTTCCTTTGCAAAATGGTCACAAATTTCACATTTAGGCATCCAAAATCTCCATTAATTCTAATTTAATTCCTAATCCAATTTAGGGATTTTAAAAACAAAACCTCCAAATTTTAAGGTTTTAAAATTATGGCTAAATCGGGGTGTTACAACTTTCCTCTTTAAATAAAATTTTGGCCTCAAAATTTATCTATAAGGGAAAGATGAGGATATTGAACCTTCATGATGACCTTAGTCTCCCACGTGGCCTCCTCATAATCTCGGTTACACCATAAGACTTTGACCATCTTAACGATACTCCTCTGGAGAATTTTCGTGTCGTCTTCAAGGATTTCAATTATCTCCTCTTCAAATCTCAAACCAAGTCTAATCTCTACCTCATCCATTGCCATAACATGAGACATGTTAACTCTATAACGCCTTAACACTAAAACATGGAAAACATCATGAATGTGTGCAAGCTCGGATGGTAACTCAAGTCGATAGGGAATTGGTCCAACACGATGAATACTCTGATAGAGGGTCAATAAAATGAGACTCGGTTTGTCTTTCCGAACAAAACAAATACCTTTCTCCATGAAGATACTTTCAAGAAAACCTCATCACCCACCACGTATTTAATATCACGATGCTTCAAATAAATATAAGACTTCTGTTTGTCAAAGGTTGCCTTAAGTTTATCCCAAATCATCTTGACAGTCTGTTATAGCTCGAAAACCAAATATGATCCTAACAATCTAAGTTAATTAAGCTTAGCCTAACTAATAGAAGTTCGAAACTTACGTCCATATAGAGTCTCATAAGGTGTCATATTAATATTAGCTTAGTAACTATTATTGTACACAAACTCTATTAGCGATAAGAATTCATCCAAACTGACTTTATAATCAACCACATAATCCCTCAACATATCTTTTAGAATTTGAATTACCCGCTTGGATTGACCAATAGTCTAAGGATGATAAGAAGTACTAAAATTTAACCGAGTATCAAGGGCACTATGTAAAGACTTCCAAAATTTCAACGTAAACTTTGGATCATGATATGATATGATGGACAATGGTACCCCATGAAGACGAACAATATTAGCAATGTAAAGTCGAGCCAACTTACTTAGAGAGTGTGGAACATCCCAAAATTCGGGTTAGTAGTTCGGGTCAATAATCGGGAATTTTTGGGATTACCGATAAAACATTATTTTTGGTTTTCTAAAATTATAAATATTATTGGAAAGTGTTTAAATGATTTGTGTAATATTAAATATGATTTTTAATAATATTATAAAAATAGATTTACAAAGTGACTAAATTGAATTAAATGAGAATATCTATTCTAGTGACTAAATGGTAAAAGGATCAAATATCAAAATCTATGAAGATAGTTTTACCAAGACTTATATTTCTTCACCTTTCCCTCTTTTCTCAATCGTAAATTTCATTCTCCCTTTTCCTTAATTCTTATCTAGATTCACTCTCATAATTCCTTTTTAATTTGTCATTTGTAAATATCTTCTCATTTATTTCCATTCTCTTCACCCAAACACAATTGTAGCTTTCCCAATTTTCTCCCAAACACCTTCCATGGATGAATTCTTCCTTCTTCATTGGATTGCAATTTCTTGTTGATTTTTTTCTCATTCTTTCTTGATTTCTTTCCTAAATTCTATTTGCTTCATTTCCTTGCCATTACCGTCCATTCTCTTCTCCATTGGTGTTTTCATCGCTTATTCTTCTTCTTCATTTCCTTTATCTTATTCATCTATATTACATAAAGAGTGTGCAAGGTAACTTCTTAATCTTGGTTCTTTTTTGTGCTTCAATGATTTAAGATTCACTTTGATAATGATCTTAAATGATCAATGCTTTCAAAAATGAGTTTACAAAATAAAAGTGATTTTCGGAGTTAATTAATATGATAATTTTTATGAGGTGATTATGAGGTTTTCTTGATTTAATTAAGATTATTTTGAGATTATTATGACAGTTCTAAATTATTTTTTCTATTGCTAACGGTTTACATATCAATTTGTTTAAAACAAGCTTGATTTCAATGTTTTTTGGAAATCTGGGAGTTGTGATGATTGCTTTTTTGTGTGTGTGTGTTTTATTATGTTTAGATGTTTATTTTGAGTGTTCTTGGTCATATTTAATCAAGGGGAAGTAGTGCTATTGAGTTAGGAGGCTTAGATTGCATTAGCAATAAGGTTCTCGATCTCTCGATTGATTTTCGTTATGTTTTAGAAGCATGATTTTCTACTCTATTTTAGATGCTTTTGTGACATGCTAAATTTATTTTTGAGGTTCCTAATGTAATACCCCAAATTTTTACTAGTGACTTAAATGTAAGTTTTGAAAGTTTGAGGGATAAAGTATAAACTTTGTAAAAGTTTATAGACAAAAAATGTAATTTTGAAAAGTTATAAATTTTATCCAGTAAATGAATAGTTTGGCTTAAAATAAGGATTTTTGTGGGAATCAGTTTTTCAGTATGGGATTTGTGTTAAAAACAATAAAGCGATAAAGTTCAGTATTGAAATCGGATAATCATATCGAACTGGAATTTTATGAAAAATTGAAGGATGTTAGAAAATTTTTGGAAATATTATTTCTATATTTTAGATCAAAGAAAATCTAACTCAGAACAGTGTAATTTTTCAGATTTGGTCGAATAGTGCAATTTTAGTGACTAAAGTGTAATTTTGAAAAATTACATAGCCAAAGTGAAAAATCAAAGTCAAGTTAATTCATTTTTGACTAAGGAATATTTTAATGGAAGATAATTCAATGACATTTGGTAATTGTAGACACCCATTTTTGTATGGGTCTACAAAAACAATATATTATTATTATTATTTATTATTATTATTATTATTAATTTATATATTACAATTATTTTGTTATGAAAATTGAAGGATGTTAGAAAATTTTTGGAAATATTATTTCTATATTTTAGATCAAAGAAAATCTAACTCAGAACAGTGTAATTTTTCAGATTTGGTCGAATAGTGCAATTTTAGTGACTAAAGTGTAATTTTGAAAAATTACATAGCCAAAGTGAAAAATCAAAGTCAAGTTAATTCATTTTTGACTAAGGAATATTTTAATGGAAGATAATTCAATACATTTGGTAATTGTAGACACCCATTTTTGTATGGGTCTACAAAAACAATATATTATTATTATTATTATTATTATTATTATTATTATTATTAATTTATATATTACAATTATTTTGCAGACCCACCAAATCTCTGGCCAATGCAACCTCCTAACAACATTTTTTAAACCCCAAGCGATGTTCAACAGAAAGAAAAAAACGAAGGGAAAAAGACAGCCAGGGAGCTACTGTAATTGAAAATTCTATAGAGAGCTAAAAGAGTAAAACAGAGTGTCGCGTGGCAGAGGATAATCTACTGCCTTTTTGTTGGTTTTCTCATTTGATTTGATTTTCAATTTTTTAGTAATAAATAACCAAACAAGATCCAAATCCAAAGCACCAGTTTGTATTGATCATTGTTTCACTTGAAATTTGTTGTTTTCTTCTTATTCTTCTCTAAGGCCAAGCTCAAGTTTTGGCACTCGTCTTATTGTTTGGTCGAGACTTTGGAGCGGGTTGTATTGAATCTCATGGCTTCAAAGCAGATTAACAAGGAGTTGAAGGATCTCCAAAAGGATCCTCCTGCATCTTGCAGTGCTGGTCATGTTGGTGATGATATGTTCCACTGGAAAGCAATAATCATGGACTCAGCAGACAATCCTTTCGCTGGAGGACTCTTTCTTATTGCCATTCACTTTTCCCCAGACTATCCATTCAAGCCTCCTAAGGTTTCTTTCCGAACAAAGGTTTTCCATCCTAACATCAACATCAATGGAAGCATCTGTCTTGACATTATGAAGGAACAGTGGAGCCTTGCCCTTACCATATCCAAGGTATTTCTGTCAATATGCTCACTTCTCACGGATCCGAATCCCGATGACCCTCTGGTACCTGAGATTGCTCACATGTACAAGACCGATAAAGCCAAATATGAGAGCACTGCCCGATTGTGGACTCAGAAGCTGCAACCCCCATGACCCAAGATATCGAATGTAAATGGAGCCGACTTGCATACAAGAAAAGATTAAAGTCAGACTTCAAAGAGAAACAAAATAGAAAAGGAGAAGAGAAATGGAATTTTACCATTCGGTCGGAGTCCTTCACCAGCGACAGGGACATCCGTTCGAAGATTCCAACGGTGAAACGAGAGAAGGAATGATTGTGAGCAACATATTCTGAAATTCGAATGATCTAACGGTGGATTAGAGAGCGGAAAGCCAAACTGTTTTCACCCATTTTACAGCAACCGGGACATTTTCTGGAGAAACGGGTTCCAGATTCAAGCTTATGAGATTGAGACGAGCTTTTGTTGTGTAATTTGGACTCTAACAGCCATCGTTGACGGCGACTGACGACCGACCGACAAAGATCATCGGTGGTAAAACGTCTGGCTGTAGGGAAATGAGAAGGCAGAAGCACTCGCGCAAATGAATGGAAATGCCACATTTTTGGTTTTATTGATTTTTCAAGGTAAATTTCCTCCATAACCCTTCAAATATTGTGGTTAAATTCTTCTTCTGGTCCCCCTATCTTTGGTGCACCACATAACATAGTCCATTTCTTTGTAATTTAATTTTGATGTTTAACTTTGATTATTGTAAATCTAAACACTAATTTATTTTCATTTATGATTTGATTTAATATTTTTATTTAATTATTATTCTATTTTCACTAATATTTTTTTATCTTTTCGAAGGCTCCTTCCTTTTTTATTTCGTTTATTTTAATTTTTAATTTATTTGATTTCTTTTATCCATTTACTGTACTTCTAAAATTATTTTTGGTTTTACCTTGCAGGTTATAATTTATTGTATATTTTGCTTCCTCGTCTTATTATATGTATTTATTATATTAGATCTTTGATTTATATTTTATTTATTAACGTCTCTTTTGTTCATGTGTTTTTCAGAATCCTTTCGTATCAAATTTTTATTTTGGTTTATTTGTATTTATTCAATTTTTTAGGTTTCCTCAAATTAAAGCACCAATCTTTATTTATTTTTTATTATTTTGTTTCATCTTGACTATAATTCGCTTACTCTTTCTAATTTATTACACTTTCATTTTTTAAAAATTTATTTAGAGTTTAATTTAACTATTTTCTTTCGTTTGATTTCAGGTTCCCTTTAATCAAGACTACACTTTTAATTTCTAATTTTGTGTATTTTTATTTTTTTTTATTTTATTTTCTTTCTGAACTCTAACTTTATTTTTTAGGGAATCCAATTAAATTTCAAATGATTATCAAAGGTAAATAATTTATATTTTATTTAAATTATTATTTAAACTTCTACTTTTTGCGATTAAGACAACCAAGAAATTAAAATGGTATCGAAAGGACAGTTCAAGGGTGCTAATCCTTCCTTGACTATAACCGACTCCCGAGCCCGACATATTTCTGGTAAAACGTGGATCAGGTAAGATGGTGTCCGATCAGCCTAAATATTTTTTTTAAAATGATCGGTGGTGACTCTAACATGTTTTATTTAAGTCGAAGCCCAATTTCGAGTCCACCCGAAAAATAGTTGCGATAGTAATTATCAAGTTTCATTAATGGTATTTTTGGGATTTCTCATTAATTGAATTTTAATAAATTCAATATTATTAAAGTTCCATGTGTCAAGGTTAATAAATACTAGATTAATCAAGAAACTTAGCACAAAATCATCTCCTTCTTCAAGCTTGCCCGAAACCACCATTTCTCCAAGGTAAACATTTTATTTTTTATTTTTTAAGCTTACATGATTTATTTTTGGACTAAGTTATGAATTAGGGAATTAATCTACATGAAATTCTCTATCATTTGGTATCAATATTTTCATAGTGAAGATGCTTAAATGTTGAGATTGAAGGTTAGGGTTTATGTAGGGTTTTGGAGTTTGAAGAATTAATGAAAGATTATTATGTTTCTGATGTTGGAGATTAATTTCAAGCATGTATGATGTTTAAATTCAAGTGTAGAATGATTTAAAGCATTTAGACTAATTAGGGTTTTGGTGATATTGGATTTTGGTTCAATTAGATGTTATGTTGATTAGAGTAGCAGGAATTTAAAGTAAGGAAGTTGAATTCATGCTTGAAATTGAATGAAAAGCTAGTCTTATGATCATAGTGACATTCAACCATTGGGGAAAAATTAGGGGGAAATATTGAAAATTTTTCTATGGTCTAGAATTGATATTAGAAGTGTTATATATGACTTGGAGATCAATTTGGATCAATTTGGAGTCTTGAGTTAGTAAAAGGGTTAATATACAAGTTTTGAGAATTGTGGGATATTATTTCAAGAATGTAATATTTGAAGGGATAATGCTGATTTTTTATAGTTGAAAATGTTGGAAATTGAAGTTCTAAAGTTATTTGGAACCAAATTTCAAATTTGGTAAAATTTGAGGATGGAATTTGAAAAGTCTCAATATTATGAGGACTTGATTTTAAGTTTATTAAATGTGGATGTATCGTTTGATTAAATTATTGTAATGCTGGGAATTTATTTAATATGCTGATTTTTGGGTTTAATTATAAAGTTGAGATTTAATTCTATGTTTATCAAGTTGTGTGGTTGAATTTGAAAAGTTTAAGAAAGTTTAGGATGAAATTTCATGTTTTTGAATGTTTAAGTGTTGATTTGAATATTTTATTGAGGTGTTAGAAATTTTATGTGATTAATGTGAAATGATCATAATGGTGAAGGTTCATTATGGATTAAATAGGAAAGTTGATATGAAATCTTAAAAGAATTCATAATTAATGGTTGGATTATGAAATTAGTAAAAGTTGAAGTGTTGATAGTGAAACGAAATATTCATGTAATTTAAGGAATATTTTAAGAAGTTTGAAATTACAATAGAAGTACAATTTTGTAACATCCTGAAATTCAAGGTCAATGACTAAATTACAAATTTTGAAAACTATGTGCTTGATTTTGAAATAAGTTAAAAGTTCATGGATTTAATTAAAGAAATTTGATGTTGGATTTAATAGTAAAGTTGGAAAGTAACAAGGGTATTATGGTCTTTTCTAAGAGAAGTTTTTTATTCTCTCTTTTTAAGGAATATAAAAACGTGGGAAATGAGGAAATCTATCCAGAGTCTTCTTCTTCAGCTCCTTCTTCTCCCCGTAAGCCTCAGTTAAAGGTGAGTTTAATTTCAGTTGTTTAATTCTTGGATTTATAAGTTGATTTTGATTCTTTGAGTATTATATAAGCTTAAGGAAAGCTTATATAAGCTTAAGGAAAGCTTATATAAGCTTTAAACATCAAGAATAGAGAATTAAAAAGGAAATTATATGACGGGTTTAGAAATGAACTTTTGTTATAGAAAGGTTTTTGAAGTTCTAAAGATGGATTTGACTTGTCAAAGGGTTAATTAAGAAGTTAGAGGTGATAGAATTGAATTAAGAACACATGGAAAATTTGATGAAATTCTTTGATTCAAGAATTGGTGAATTATGAGGGATAGTGAAGTGTTATAATGTTATAAGAAGGTTTACATATGTATAGATAAGTTTTATGGTATAAGGAGGGGTTAATAAGTAGAATTTGAGGATAAAATAAGAATTTTAGGGCTCAAAATGGAATTTCTGGGTTGTGTGCATCGATGCATCTTCAATGTGTATCGATACACTCTCAAATAAATGAACATCGAATGCAATTAGTGCATCGATGCATAAGGAGTGTATCGATACACCCCCTTAAAATGAAAACATCGAAGGTGATTTGTGTATCGATGCATGGGTAGTGCATCGATGCACATGTTAAAGAATGCATCGATACACTGTAGAATGTATCGATGCACTTCAAGGGAAAATGGAATTATACCTTTCTTTTGGTCTAAGAAATGATAGATTAGAATATATCAATTGGATATTGATATGTATCAATGTATGATTATATAGATATCGAGCACTAACAAGTTCCCGAACGATTATCAAGTTAAGATTCGATCGAAAGAGAGGAAAGCATAAAAGTGGATTGGAACTTAGTGAGGCCAAGTGAGTGCATCTTATTACATCGAATTATATGGAAATTGACTTGTGATAAGTCTATTTCCGATAGTATAGTACATGAAGTATGTGATTAATATGAAATGTATGTATACTTGATTGTATGAGTGTATATATATGCTATGTGAATATATGGTTATGGAATAAAGTATATAATAATACAATGTTATTTGAGTTACTTAACAATGAGTCATAAGATTACATGCATATGTAACATAAATTATATGATAAGAAAATATGTGCTTACATGTATTTGCGTATATATTATATATATATATATATATATATATATATATATATATATATATATGAATAAGATATGATATATGTTTATGTAAAACCATGAAAAGTGATATGAGAAGTGAACTACACAATTATGTGATCATATGAGAATGAGATAAAGAGTCATGAGATATATGAAAGAGAAAGTATATGTGATACGTGAAAGTGAATCATATGATTATAAATATATGGATGACATGAATTGTATGTATGTATGATTATATGTGTTAACATGCTTTTGTATGTAATGATATAAGAAGTATGTGCTATGTGATGTATATATATATGAACATATGTGAAACTGAACTATGTGATTGCATGAGAAAGATATGAGCCATATGACATGATATATGTGAACATGAGAAAACAAAGTATAAGATAGGAGCTATATGATCCTATGAGAATATGAAAAGAAGCTATATGACTACATGTATATGTAAAAGAAGTTATGAGCTTATATGACATGTGATATGAAAGTGTATATATGAAATGATATAAAGATAAATGCCCATGGTATATGATATGAGAGCGATACGTTTAGTTGGCATGCCAAGAGTCGAGGGTTTACCTATGTTCTACGAAACATATGGACAGAATTACCTATGTCTTTCGAGACATATGGACAGTATACCTATGTTCTAAGGAATATATGGATAGTTTGCCTAGGTTCTTCAGGACCTATGGACAGTTG